TACATAGTTAAAAAAAAAAAAAAAAGTCAAGTGTAGCAGTCTGGTTATTTTAGTACATGGCTTCATAAGGCAGAAAACCTACTGGATACAGTCTGTGGGGCAGCTGGCTGTCAGAATTCGGGTAGAATTCTTCTTCCTTTTACTCGTTTCTTTAAAAAATTTTTAATTGGTTAAAGACCCATGTTTTGTATGAAAGCTTATATTCTTCCAAATAACAAAAAAAAAGCTGTTTCTTCCTCCCTTAAAACAACGTTGTCAAATCCTTTCTCTGCCATGCTGCTGTGGTACAAACTTGCAGTCGCAGCAGCCGAGTAGTACGGAGTTCCCCGCTGGCTTGGGAGGAAGCGTGTCCGGGAGTCCTCTGCTGCGCTGGCCATCGTCAGAGCTCCAGGTAGCTGATCAGGGCCACCATTACGAGAGAGTTAGTTGTGATAATCACAGCGTGGGGTACTGGCCTCGTCACAGAGTCTTCCACCATCATACTTGTCCCTGAAAGAAAGGGAGCAGGGAAGGAGCAACCGTCTCGTTGCACAGACACAACCTGATGTCTTGTGGAGAGTCGGGAGTGTTGGTAAAATGTTAGTTCTGGGGTTCTGCATGCTCGTATTGCTTTTATTTCTGATGAACCTTATAGGATTGGAAATGAGAATTTGGAGGTGGGCACTGAGTACTTAGACCCTCATCAAGGGAACTTGCTGGATTTGGTGTTGGGGGCCCACAAACAGAGCCAGGATTTCACTCTTAGTGAGTGTAAATTGGGCTTGCATGGGGCCTCAAGAGCTTTATCTGCAAATAAAATAAAGCAGTGTTCAGACTAGACTGAAGGGTTGCTCAGAGTGTGGGAGAGGTTAGCTGGCGGGGGGCTGGAGAGGAATACGTCAGAAGATCCTTTGAGTGAACGGCACAAGGGAGCCAAAGACCAGCTCCAGAGGCTCAACCTAAACCACTGGGTAGGATGTTCCCCTGCGTTCCTGGAAGGGAGAGGGGGATTTGAAAACACAATAGCATCTGTTGCCATTGTGCCATGCTGTGGCCAGGTAGGGGACGAGGTATGACTGAGTCATTGACCTCTCAAAGAACAGTGGTAGCAGGTGACAGACAAGTAGTCCTGCAAATTAGCTCCTCTCTCTGAGCTCGTTTTCCAGCACTCTGTGACGCAGCCTGTAAATGAGCATTTGTGCACCCAGTCAGAGCAGCATACGCACCACTGTTTCGGAGAATGTGAACTTCTGCTGGGATTCCATCTCCGCCAGGGCCCGTCACCCTGATCTGCACAAAGGCGTGAGTGAAGTCTTCAGGGACGGGGATGTCGATCCGGCTCTTGCTGGCCAGGTATAGTGTGGGAGCAGAGTGGGAATCCTGCCTGTAAAGCATCTGTTGGAAGAGGCAAGTCTGAGTTTCTGTTCCCTGTGATTCCCTTAGGGTCACTTATAAGGGAAGGCCAGCTACGTGGTGCCTGTACCTTGTACCCCGTAACTGCAGACTCATCTGCCTTTGCCACCACTGGGTCCCACTTGATGCTGACTGTAGATCCAGCAAAAGTCCAGGAGATGTTGCCAGGCGGCCTCGTTGGTGCTAAGAGATACAAAACAAGACAGGGATTCAGCAGGTCAGGGACCGATGAGAAGGTTGTGCTGGTTACAACCGTCTCTTGAGACTCTACAACTAGTCAACAGGGCTGATGGCACCACAAGACTGAGCTGAGGAAATTCAGGGAACTGTTTCATGGACTCCTTAAAACGGCGTTAGAGCACCAAGATAGAAAAGCTAATCACTTAGCTGATCACTGGGGATCCTCTAGAGGAAGCAGCGGCCCCAGGGAGTACAATGTGAAAAACAGAGGTGGTTGGGGCTCACTCACGTGGTTTTGTTGTCGTGACGTTGGTGGAGGGGCTGGGGGGGCCGGTTCCAGCCCGGTTGTAAGCTCTGACCGACACGTGGTATTTGGTGTTGGGGTTTAAGCCTGTGACGTGAGCTGACGTGACCAGCCCTGCTGTTCTGACTCTGTCAGCTGCCTCCTCTTTATCACCATCCTTCCAGTACCGGATCTGAGTGGAAAAGGGTGTGATGGGTTTAGTAAGGACAGAGGCATCTGCGAATACCAGACTCCATCCATCCACAGCCAGCACTGGACACCCTTTGGTATTTGTTTCTATGCATTTTGCATAGTGTGTGCCCAGGCCTGTGTGGAAGGGCAAGCGGAAAAAAAAGGATGTTTCTCTCTTACTAATCTCTCCTGTGAGCAGTAGCACTGGCCCCATTAGAGCCTCGTGCTGTCCGTTAATTATCCTCCATCTTTGGAAGCAAAAGGCTGTTTCCTTTCACCTCACTTAGCCTGGGGGACTTTTCTTTGCTGGGCTCTCTGATCTCAGTGTTGGTGTCTCTCATTCCCATTGCAGGCTCGTACCTCGTAGCCCAAAAGCACTCCAGTCATGTCTCCCTGCTCGACGGGCTCCCAGGACACATCCATTTCTGAGGACAGAACAGCCTTGGCTGTAACTCTGAAAGGAGCCACTTTCGGTTCTGAAAAAGACAACAAAAGGGAATAAAATCCTTTCCCTCGCTCTGGGCAGCTTAATCACCGTACTGAGACGAAGGGCTCTCCTGCAGCACCGTTACTGTGCAGCCAGACAGCTGGTGTTATGTGTACGGAGCAAAGCAAGGGGAAGGGATTTAGGGACTTAGTAAGGACAAGCAGGGCCACAGCTGTGTGCTGCGAGGATCTGCGTCTGCTCTGAAGCGCTGGGTGTACAGTCACGGCTGGGCTTAGGGAAACATCGAGCTGTGTATCTGAAGCAGAAGATAAATGTTATGCTGAAATCACTGTCAGCTGTTCTTTGAGTAGAAGAAACCTCTCCTGTCGCTGAGCTCCCAGACAGACACGGCTCTGCAGGGAGCAGGTTGAGGACAGGTTGGTTGGTTGGACAAAGCACAGTGAATTCAGAGTCTCGGCAGTCCCTCTTTACCTTCTTCTGCAGAGTACACGATGGCAGTGAGGCTCTCTGGTCCCTCTCCTTTCCTGTTGTACGCTTTGATCTTCACTTCGAAGGGGGTGTAGGGACCGATGCTCTCGTTGCGGTAGACATAGTGCAGCGATTCTGCATGCGGCACCCTTGCTGTCAGCCACCCCTGGGTGCCTTTCTTGCGAAACGACAAGATGTAGCCAAAGCCATCTCCGTTCTGATAGTCCCTCAGGGTTGGCTGTGAGGGGGGCAGAAAGAGCGAGGAGCCTTGGTCAGCTCAAACGAGCAAGACTTCGGACTAAGCACAGTGTCTGGCTCAATTACGTATCAAAATTGTAATTGCAGCACTGATTTCCCAAAAGAAATGGCACGTGCTTCTCCCCTTGGCCCTCTCCCAGCGTCCACGGCTGGTGCCACGCTGCTGACTTACCGTCCAGTTGATGATGAGCTCGTTGGGAGCCCCTCCGCCTCCGCTGAGCCCAGATGGTGCCACAGTAGGTGCTGTCGGGTCCCCGAACAAAAGCAGACAGCACAGGGTTAAGGAAACAATGGTGATGAAGATGAGCACAGACATCGCGCGGTCTGGGAGTAGCCAGGCTTAGACAGCTCGCGTGAAAGTGCTGGTCTCTATGTTTTCAGCCGTGAATATTTCAGATGTTTGTGAAAATTGGGTCTAGAATACTGGCTGGTGACTGATGAGCTTGTTTGGAGGCAGCATGTCTCCAAGGGGACAAGAATCAAGGTCAAAAGCAAGGATATGGAGGAGAGCTTTTATTAGAAGGGAGCTAATGTACATTTGATATGTTGAGAGCAGTTCTTCTGCTGTTCTTACGTCCCTTCTGCTTGCACATTCGAGCAGCAGAAGACAGAATCAACATTGAAAGCCATTTGCTGGGAAATTTACCTTGTCTTTGCAGAGTTGTGCTCTGTGATATAACAGGGCTCTTTTCCCCCTTCTAAGCATTACTGCCCAGAAGGAACAGGATTTGCAGGTAGGATTTATAGTGGCTTAATGTATTTTATTTAATGCTGGTGAAGTTAGCTGCCAGCTCTGGTGCTGCTTTGTCTTGGATGTGTAAATGGGCAGAAAGGCAGAGAATTTTGTGATGGCCTCACCTCCAGGAGCACTCAAGGAGATGACTAATTGTTTGGGCCCAAGGCATGCTGCAAGCCAGCCTTCCCCCTCCTGCGTGCAGGGACAGGTACCTCTGATTCCCCTTTCTACCTCTGAGCGTATCTGCACGTACCTGCTTCTTTGGTACGGATTTTGCTGGAGGGTAAACTTGGCTCCCCAACTCCGAGAATGTTACTCGCTAAGACCCGAAACTCGTAATCCATCCAAGGAATGAGGTTCAACACCTGGGCTGTCTCTGCGTTGCCTTCAATATTTACAGGATCTATATAATCCAATAACATGAGAGGAGAACAAATAGAGCGAGTGGCAGCCAGTGTACGTGCACAGAGCAAGAACTTGTCAGCGAGCTGGTGCCCCGCAGCCAGCACGGGCCGTGCCACCGCTGCTGCCGTCAAGACACTTACTGGTACGCATTTGCTTCCATTTGCTGGAGAGGAGGGTCCGTGCCTCGATGATGTACCTGGCAATAGGGCTGTGGTTGTCAAAGCCACGGCTCCAGCTCAGCTGGACGCTGGTGTCACCAATATCTCTCACCACCACGCCCCCGGGGGGGCCTGGAGGTCCTGGGATGAGGGGAGACAGACAGACACAGTACTAAGGTGAAAGCTTGGGAGGCTTATTGCTCTTTGTGTTGTGCAAGTCATAAATTAAAATCAGGCCTTTCTTTTCTGGAAGCTAGGAAGCCTCACCTCCAGTTTTGGCCTCCAGAAAAGCTCGTAAGCCTATCCCATCCAGTTCAAATGTTAGATGGTGAGGTGCAAGAAGAGCAAGCTGACCTCTTGCAAGGACCATGCTGTTACTTTGGGCTTGTAAGGAGCAGGGGACCTTACGGCAGAGAAATTACCTCTGACGGTCAGTGTGGCTGACTCCGAAGCACTGTCCACAACTGTCTGGGCTGTGCACGTGTACCGCCCCGAGTGCTTCAGCTGGGTGTTGAAGATGCTGAGGTCCCCAATAGCTTCCTTCTGCATGGGGAAAAGAGAATGGGGAGAGCATTTGAACATGCCTGATCCCAATCAAGCATTCAACATGCAAAGAGGCTGGTATTAGTTCTCTGTCCTGTTTGATGGTACCTAAGCGCCCTTTCTACTCACCACGCTGGCTCGCCGGTAGTGCCCCTCAGACTTGTCAAAGTCAATGGGGAAATCATCTAGTGACCAGGTGAAGGTTAGGTCCATAGTTGGGTCATGGGACGCGTGACATTGTAGAGTAAGGTTTTCACCTACATTGATATCGGCACTAGATGGTGCCAATGTGATTTTGGTGGCATCTGCAGAGAAAGAGCAGGAAGGGCTGTTAGCTGCAAATGTCCAGGTCCCAGAGGTACACGAATGCTGCAGGGCATCTGAACCAACTAACACTTTCCAACTTGTTGTCCCTCTCTAACAGCTGTAGTTTTACAGGAGGAAGATGAGGGATGGCAGTGGTTAGAAAATGGAAATCCTTTTCTCAAGGACCAGTTGTTGGTAGGTATGATTTGGTGGGTCAGGCAGAAGGTTTGCTGCTCCACAGGCTGAAATGTCTTTGATTCCCTGAGTATCACATGGATTTTTGGGAGTATAAGGAGAGGAGGAATAACACGTCATGGCATTCTTAGACGTTTCTGGCTCGATTGACCCCAAATCAAGGCAAACATCTCTACCTCGAACAGAGAGGATTCCAGTACTGTTGGCTTTGCCCATGAAATTCTCAGCAAAGCAGGTATACTTTCCCTCATCAGATTTGCTGATATTCTGGAGGATCAAGGTGCCATCTGTGGTAATAGTCACCCTGGAAAGGAAGAAGAACCACACACGAGGAAAGTTAAAATGTCTGATCACGCTCTACACCTGACAATTTCCAGCCCTTGCTGACTTTAGAGAAATCAGTGATAAAGACAGGACTGCAAAATATTATGTAGGAGTTTTCTGAAGAAACAACTAGAAGATAACAAAGTGCTTATGTTCAGGGATGTAGCAGCACATAGGCCATCAAGTCCAGTCTTCTGGCAAGAAAAAAACGTGATTTTAGCTATGGTTTCTAGCTAGAAGCTGACTCTGTGCTGCTACCTGCTACTGTTGATCAGAAGTTCAGTCCCTTTGGTCCAGAGCACAGTGGCTTTTGGTGCTGCCCTTGGTTGGCAGGGGATGATGACCTTCCCACTTCGGGCTGCAGGTATCAGTCGCTTCACTGGGTTTAGTCTAAAATCTGGTGCTAAGGCTACAGGGGAAAAAAAGAGGATTAAGGAATGATTAGAAAACCCTGCGGTGTAAGCATTTTAACTGCCATGTAGCTAGGTATTGATTTGTTGTTAGATGACTTGGTATCAGAAGCGTGGCAATATCTGGTGAGCAAGATGGAGCAATTCCTCTGCTGCCGGGCGGTTTCTAACGCCTGCCGAGGCAGGTGTTACGTGACACGATGGTGATATGACCCTAACAAGTGCAAGGTCTTCGAGAGACACAAGAACAGCTGCTTTTGAAAATGTAGAGGATATTCTCTTCAATAACCTGAGCAAAGTCACCGATGCAGACATCTGGCTTGCCCAGAACTCCTCCTGGAATTGCTGAGATAGAATTGGGTTTTATCTGTTGCCCTCACGCATCGCAGTGTGTTCATGTTGAACAGTTGATGCTTGGGGCCTTTAATTTATCTCTGGCATCTCCTCACCACGAGGAGGTAAGTTTTTAGACTAGTGTGGAACAAGTTCGACATTGGTCCAGTTCCAGCCACCATCCATTGTAGCAGCTGGATGGATACTGAACTCTTTTCTTTCACCTCTTTCCTCCAAAAAAGAGGAGGGCTGTGTAGTGGAGGAGAGGTAGTGCTGCTGCTGTCTGTCCTCTGCACTTTCTGTAGTTAAACAGATGTCCTTGTTCTCTTTCAGCATTACTGAATTTACACAAGATTTAAATTTTTAAAGGTTATAGAGTATCTTGTTGAACCAGCAACTACATTTCAATGGTGAGTGAAGCAGTTTTTGTCTGCTCTTATCTTACTCTGAGATCGGAAGCGTAGGATATTAGGAAGAGATCTAAAATGCTTCAGTGTCCCATTGAAACCCAGAGCACTGGGAAACGAGAAATTACCTTGCACTGTTAATTCAGCACTTGCATATACTGTGCCATGCTTGTTCTCAGCCACACACTGATACATGCCAGAGTCCTCCAGGACTAGCTTGGAAAATCTCAGCTCTCCACCGCTCACTTCGATGCGGTTCTGTGCAAACAAGAGGATGAACCCATTAGATGAAAAAAACCAAAAATGGAACTCAAGCCTCGCATGTTCGGGGTTGAGTTTCATTACAGACTCCTATGCCAGTTTGAAGCCAGCCTGGTTTTCCGTGGGAGAAAACGCAGGAGATTTTTTTTCCATCTGTCCAGTCACTACCCCACAGCACTGTGCTCTCTTTGCTGAGACTTGGGAGCGCCTGAGCAGCAACGTGCAGGTCGTACAAAGGCAGGTACGAGGTGCTGTTTATCCGCCCTGATAGCTGGCTATGAGTTCCTGTAGTTGCATGAAGCGATGGCTGGGGTGGCAGTGACAGGAGACAGAACTTGCTGTCGGTAAGGACTGTGGCATTGCTCTGCAGCCTTATGGGGGCACATGGAGTAGGGGTGCGGGGTGATAAAACGGGGCTGAGATGCGTTTGCAGCGAGGCGGGAGAAGGGCTAAGTGTGGAGCAGCAGGTTCAGTACTGCAAGTTCTGGTGTGCTCTGGCTGAGCTGCTCTCGCTGTCGGACCGGCACGGCGGTACCTGGGAGGTCAGCGGCTGCCCGTCCCGAAGCCATCGCACTGCGGGCCTGGGTTTGCCAGCAGCCGCGCAGCTCCAGCGCAGGTCGGCCCCGATGTCGGCTTCCGCGTCTGTGATCACCTTCAGCCACTCCGGCTGAGCTGCGAAGGAGCAAGAGAGGTGGCAGAGCCAAGAAGATCAGATGAGAGGTTTGTTGTGCCAGGCAGGCAGAAGGATGCTCATTGTGTCATCTCTGCTGGCAGATTTATTTATCACAGCGTGTTTCACCATAGTAACAGCCTGCGCCTTTTGTGCAGCGATGCAAGGCTGAGTCCTCTGTGGGTCTGGCTGCAGCTGTGCATGTGGACTGCACAGAATTACGGCAGAATCCAGATCCAAGGAAGAACTTTATGGTTTCTCAAGAGTGAATGCAGTCATTCCTGAGCTTCAGGAAAGACGGGATTCAGACTAAGATAACCAGGTGAAGTTTTGTAACTTCACTAGATCTGATTAATAGCTCTGAGTATTAACCCCTGTGGAAGTACCCCAGGCTTGGAGAGGATCTTGGCTGAGAGACAAGTTTGATTTTTACTACTGTGTTTCCTTCCCTGGTTACCTCATTTGTTCTAGAATTATTTTAGAGCAAGTTAGGAGATCTCTCTCTACTTGCCATAGCCTAAATGTATCCACTGAGGAAAGGTATCATTGATCTCTGCAGGTCTTTGTTAGGACTTTGCAATAGGTTTAATTAGGGCTGATATGAGGCAGGATCAGAGGTGGTGGTTTCCCTCCGAAAAGCTCAGTCCGTTGCCTGGGGCATCTTGCTGAGCTCTGGCCAGGCGTGTGTTTAAATGTGTTACCTTGGATGGTGATGCGGCCCTGGTAGGTGTCTCTCCCTTTGATGTTTTCAGCCTCACACTCATAAGTGCCTTCATCCTCAAAGCCAACATCCTGGATCTGCAAGAGGGGCTCGCTGCTGATCCACTTGGAGGACTGCGAGCCGTCCAGCTTCCTCCACTTTATTCGAGGGACGGGGCTATGTAAAAGTAAACCTGGTGAAGGCCAGCTCCAGATACCCCGTGCTGCACTACAGCCTAGCATAACTCAGTCCCCGTTTAGCCACCCAGGTCCCAACCAGCTGGGCCTTGGCCAGCAGGACAGACGGCTTTAGCCAAGTCCTCGCTCCTGCTGTTCCCCCTCCATCTCTGCTCTAGAGCAGACCCGTTGAAGAGAGGGTTTGTGAAGGTTGTGGGATGCCCTCCCCGACCTGAGCGACACAGACGCTGCACTCACTTTCCAAAGGCAAAACACTCCAAAGTCACCATCTGCCCAGCCAGAGCGTAGATGTCTGCAGGAAACCTGGCTTTGATGCTGGGTGCATACTGCCTGGCATCTGTTAAGAGGAAAGCACCGTTGAGGAGTTCTGGATGACTCTAAAATGGCACACGTGAGGTCTGAAAGGGCAGAGGTACCCGCACGGTCGCACCGCTTTGCGAAACCTTCGCGCGTTTGGATAATTTACAGGTGGCAGAGGCTAAAGTTTCATTTTCCTCTTAAAACAGCTGTTACTAAAGTCTCTAAAAACCTCTTTACAGCATCTCAGGACTGTTTCTCATTAATTTCCTACCCGCTTAACTCCCTTTGCCCTGCCCAAGAAGTATCTTTAGCTGTGCTACTGCAAGGTCACCAGAAGCAGAGGAGTAGTTTCAGGGATTTGTGAGCCTGCAGAGGCTGCACCTTGTGCCATTTCTCTGTTACAAACAAACAAGAGAAACCCCCTGGGTGGGGTTTGTAGCTGCACAAGCAGCAAAGCCTGGAGAGGAGGCTGCTTCCCCCAGGTTCCAGCCAATTAATAGATCTGTAAGCTCTTAAGCAACCCTGAGAGGCTGATGGGTGATTTGTGCGCTGCCGGTGCCCTTTGGAGCCCGCGTGCTGTGCGGTGCCTTGCTAATTCTGCATTTTGCCCAGTCCCCTTATGATAATCTGAGAGCACTGACCCTCTGCAGCGAGGCTGAGCCGGGAGAACTTGCTGAAAACGCTCTTGGTGATGAAGTCGATGTGGCTGGTGGCAAAGCACGAGTAGTTCCCCAGGTCGGAAGCCTCTGTCTTGGCAATGTAAAGGTTTCCCGTGGTCTGAGAGACGAAACGCCTGCCATCGGCTGGGGGGGAATTGGGAAACTCATTCAGGAGCCAGCGATAGGATAAGCCTGTGGGAAAAGAAAAAGAAACAAACGGTACCAGTTGGCTGTGACCTCTCAGGTGGGACTAAACCTGGCAGGCCCCTTTCTAGACCCATCTAAGCTGAAGCTGGTCCTTGGATGATACTTGTTTTCTCCACGTGCTAAGTCCCACCTCTGTTTTGTTGCTTCACAGAATCTGAATTAAAACCAGATTTGCTTTCCTAAAATTCCCAAAGAAAAGCGCGGAGTGCTGCACGTGTCTGGGTGTCCCTTGCTCTGTTGTGTCTCTCCAGCTGGCCCCAGCAGTGCTGCTGATCGCTGCCGGTGGCAGTGCCGAAATGCAAACCCTTACCTGGGTAATGGGGAGGAGGGCTGCAGGCGAACATCACTCCCCAGCCTTCGGTGATCTTCACGGGGTCTCGCTCTTCTGCGGAGAACTCCTGCAAAACTAAACATGCAAAGTGAAACCTGTCCGTGGATGAAAAAAACAGCGGGAGGAATGACTGTATCTCATCTCCCCCTCCGCTGGCTGGTCTATTCAGTCGTTGTACCGAGGGAGAGCAAAAAATACTACTGACTTTCTCTGTAGTGCATCAAATTTCTGCTACACCTTTCTGTTAATGGAAAGTGCCAGAGGATTTCTCCAAGTGATGATGGAGACCATGCACAGGAGAGCTTCTCTCCAACTTTTGTTAATGCGAGCAGGGGGGCTCAGTTTACCCCCAGCATAACGGTGGCCGCCTTTCATTTACCTCGTGCAGACAAACTTACAGCCAAAGCGGAGGGAGGCTTCCCTGCTGACCACCGTGCCTCTGGAGTTGGATGCCACGCACTGGTAGGAGCCCGCATCCTTGGCTTTCACGGGGTTGCTTATCACTAGGTCGCCTGCAACCAGCCTGTAACGGGAATCTGGCTCCATCTTTATCTCTGTGCCATTCATCTTCCACCTGCCAAGAGCGAGTGCAAAGAGTGAGAGGGGTAAACACTCATTGTGGCACTCGTGGTGCCTCGGAGGAGGCTGTGCTTGTTTGGTTTTCCAGCTGTCGTGTGTTGGGATGTGAGTTAGATTTACACCTGGGTGGTGGCCTGGGAGGGATGGCACGTCACGTGTGGACAAGCAGGCTGATGCCCATGTTAGTGATTTTCTTTACAGAAAAATGGAGAAAAGAAAGCAAAATTCTTGACGGTTTTGTCCCAGTCCTGGTACAGAGAGAGCGCGGGCGAGCTCACCTGTAGGTCGCAGGAGGACTGGCTCTCGCTCGGCAAGACAGCGTGACTTTCTCTTCTGCAGAGCCCTCAGGCAAGCGCGGGTGGACACGGTGA